GGTGAGGATTTCTCCACTTCTTTATATACAATCTACAAAAAAACAAGTGAGAGTTCTACACAAGAGCCTCAGGGGGTTTGAATGTGGGCTGACACATACCCAATCCCATTGACTCATTTCAGCATCCCCTGGCTCACCACAGAGCAGGTATGGAATGCAGCATTCCCAGCAAATCCCAGCACCAGGAGAAACACTGCTCTGACAAAGGCACAAACCTTGAAGGCTATAAAATGAGTGTGCCACAGTCACCTCGTTCAGTACTCCTGACAGCAAATGAAACACTCATCACAGTGGGAATGTGGATTTCATTCTGGCAGCCAAGAACCTTTCACCTGATTCTGCCACAAATAAATGCAAACAAAGTGCAGCATTGCACGAGGAAATAGCAAAAATACTTCGGTGTGCCTGCAACATATCCCCAAACACAAGCACCAGGATAAAACACACCAACTGCAATTCCTGCCTGTGTGGCAGAGATTAGCAGAGCTATTTCCATTTGTTTTCCATGATATATTTTACACCTAACTGGAAGTTAAGGCATTTTTCAGCACTGAGGAGCTTTGCTGAGGTGCTTTAACAGCTTGTGCCTTGCTTCTGGTTCAGAGGCATCACCAGCCATGTGAGTGTTGCAGAGTTACAATACACACACAAACACTCTCCGAGGAGATCTGTCCAGTCCCTCCTCTGCAGTGGAAACAGCACTGCACACTGTGTTCTTGTTGCCTCGATGGATGAGATCAGCTTGGGATTTTTGGAACAGAAACTACAGCTTTGTGCCTGCTGCCAACGCCCCAGAATCTGTCAGGCCTTGCAGGTACAGGTGTGCAAGGATAAAATCACTGCTCACAGGTGTGCCAGGAAATGCTCTTAGGGTGAGCTGGATGAGCCTGTACACACAGGATGGAAGTCTGATCACAACCCAGTTCCAGGGCTGTTCAAAGTCAGGAATTGCACAAAGCAGAGACAAATCTGTCCTGCTTCCCAATCTGCACAGCCACATCTACACAAAACACACTGACACATGACAGGAGCATCTGAGTCTGTTACTGCCAGAGATGATCATAGCAATGTATTCCAGCAGACTCGAAAGGATTCCTCCATTTTTCTTACATTCCTAAGTTTTCATGCAATTTCCCAAGCCCTGATGAAGTATCAGGAGGAGGAAAAAAAAATCAAAATAAATCAAGGTCTCCAGAATGGAGCAGATTTCACAGCATCTTTCAGCTACAAACAGCAGCACCAAAGCTCTGCTGCTGGCCCCATACTCACAGTCTTTTTGCTGGCAATGGTTGCTGGATGCTCAAACTCTGTGATCTTCTTCCACGTCACGTGGTTCAGGATCCGCACCTGGTCGGGAAAGCATGACAAGGCCCAACTGTCACAACCAAGGTCTACAAACGGTTTAGATGGAAAGAGAGAGAAACAAAACCTTTTTCTCACCTTCTCATCAAAGCTGCCAATGGCCAGGAACTGGCTGCTGGGGCTCCAGGCCACTGCCTTGATGCCCAGGGGCCACTCGTAGGCGCGGAAGGAGGAGAGCAGTCTGCCATCCAGGGAGTACAGCAGCAGCTTGTACTGAAACACAGACAGGCAAACCATTCCCCTCAACCTCTCCTCATTTAGAATGCAGTAAATTAAATACAAAGGTCATGGTCTCTTGTCTGTGACTCCAGAGGCTCCAGGATTTGTTGCTTGCTTTTTGAGCCCTTTATTAGCTGTAAAATCACTGTGCAATGCAGTAGGAGTGAAGATGAAGACTCTCACAGAGACTTCTTCCACCACTCTTTCAGTATTTCAATAGCAGCTTCTGCAATGTTTGCCATCAAATTTCTTTTCCAAGATAAATCAGGAAGGATTTGCTGCCAGTGAAGATCTACAGGCCAGTCTGCCATCCACTTCAGGGACATCTCTCCCCAAAACAGGGGCAACATTTACCAACAGCTGCACTCAAACCGCTTGATGCTTAAAAGAAACTCTTGAAACACTAGTTACTTTAGTTACTGCTCTACACACCGTGGCCAAACCCAGCATGAACTCTCCAAGAACACACCCTGCTTTCCCCCATACCTCCAGACACGTGTCCCACGCAGCCAGCACACAGCCATTGGGAGCCCACTCGATCCCACACAGATCCTGCGTCTCCGTGTCGAAGTGCTGCTCCCGAGAGACAACACAAACCACTTGAAATGTTATGTCAGCGAGTCCTGTTGCCTCTGAGCTAACAGGATGCTCTGTTTTACCCTCACAAGTGCCACCTTTGATGCCAGGGCAGCAGGGGAAGGAGAGGGCAGGGCTCACCCTGAGCAGTTGCCAGTTGCTGCAGACGAAGATGCTGATGAAGTCCTTGCAGTCGCGTCGCTCGGCCACGGCCATGTACCGCCCATCCCTGGTGAAAGCCACCCCTGCCAGGGGACAGAGGTAGTTACAACTGGTTAAACTGGAGAGAGACAAGACAGAACAGCTAAGGAGTCTTCAGTGAGGGACAGTTAGTCCCAATCTATAGGGGAAATGAAAGAGGAGAAAGGATCCCTTCATGGAAAGTCACATTAACCAAGGCAGAGCACAGTGCTACTGATGGGCTTGTGTCAGCACTTTGTCAGCCTGGAACATCCAGTTTCTCAGGATGCAGAGCTGCAGTGTGCCTCCAAACACATCTGAGCACTGGCAGTTGTTACACAAACCCCACAGACTTCAAATAACCAGTTCATTTAGCCTGGCTAAATGGATCCTCCATGCAATCATCAGCTCTGCTCCCCATCCACTCCCGTTTTACACGGGATACATAACCATCTTTGTCATCTGTGGGATACAGCCCTTGGGCAGCAAACTGCTCACCACAGCCATCAGGCCTGACAGCCTGGCACAAGCTTCCCTTGCTAACATTTCCATGTGCAAAAGATGACAAAAGCCACTTTGGATCAGTGATTTCCATCACCAGCACAACTTAATGCCTTAAAGGACCCTTCAGAGGCAAACACAACACAGAGGCACATGAGTACACCAGGCACATGGGTGAGATGAAATCCTTCCCTCACAGCCCACATGGCTTCAGGTGGCACAGGTGCCCTCGGCAGGGAGGGGGCAGAGCCTCTTCCCCAACACATGACATTCCTTCTCCCTTCCTGCCACATTAAAAAAGACCATCCCTGGGTAGATGTGGGACACTCACCCTGCTGACAGGCTTTGGGGTACTTGATGTAAGACACAGACTTTGTGCACAAGGACCACACGGTTATCCGCAGCTGCCAGGGAGACATGGAGCAGTTTGGGTTATTTGGGGGGATAAAAAGAGAATTAAGCAAACAGAAAAACATCAAACTAATTTAGCAACACAATCAACCTTTTGTGGTTAATTAAACTCTGCAGCTATTCTGTATAACACTCTGCCCCAGGAAGGAACTGTGAGGGATTCTCCCCCAGCTCCCTGCAAGGTGTTCACTCCAAGTTTACTTTGCAGCACACTGGACACTCCAGAGAGGAGCACAAGGTGCACAACATCGACACAGAGAACAGCTCTTCATTAACACTGAAGCTACTGACATTAGCACAAATGTGTTTTCCCATCTATGGTACAAAGTCACTTTGCAGTTGGAAAAACATTGTCATCACAGAATCTGGATGAGATGAGGAGTTTGTTGCCTCTATGAATGGATGAGAGGTTACAGTCACTCCAGAATGTTGTATCCCTTGGGAAAAGGTTACCAAGTGTGAAAACTGAGCTGTATTTTCCAACATTTGGACACCCTCAGCTTCAGCAACTGATTTGCATTTTGCTCTTCCCTCCTCAGCCACACACAAGGAGGAAACGTTACAGAATGACTGAAAAGCCAGAAATGGCTCCAAGCCTGCAAAGCAAGGGATTACCCTGGTGTTTGGGAGATTTCTGGAGGACTGGGCATCCACGAGCCACAGGGCTGCAGTCAGCTGCAGAGCCTCCCACAGCTCCCCAAGGTCACAGCTGCACTCCAGGCTCTGCCCTGCCATCTGCACATGGCCCAGCTGAAAACAAATACTCCTCTCCCTTGGCAACAGCAGCCTCGGACACATTCAGCAGGGGCATGTGAACCTTTGCCCATGGAGATGGAGCAAGGAATGTTTCCAGGGTCAGCTTTTAACTTCTCTTCTCCAGGGTGGACAATCCCAATTCTCTCAGCCTTTCCTCATAGCAGAACTGCTCCATCCCTCTCATCATCTTGGTGCTTCCTCTGGACTCCCTCCAACAGGTCCTTCCCGTGCTGGGGACCCCAGAACTGGAGGCAGCACCCCAGGTGGGGTCTCACATTGCAGAGCAGAGGGCACAATTCTCTCCTACAAATTTAGCAGGCCTTGGAGGAATCCACAAGCTGGACAACATTCATCAAGCTTCATCCCTGCACCCACTCACTTCCGGCCACACACCCCAGTGTTGTTATTCTGCTCCTGGGGAAGATTTACTTTAAAAATACCAACACAATGCCTCCACACATTCTTCTGCAGCAACTGCAGTGCTGAAACACTGCTGGTGACTATTAATTGCAGGGCTAAATGCACTGCCTGTGCTGCCTCCCCGAGCAAAACACCCAGCACACATTCTCCAGCCACTTAATCCAAGCTTAGCAGCTGCAGGCTTCAGATGCTGAGGGCTGGATCATCATGTGTCCTCACAAAGGCATCCGAGTTTACTCTGGTGCTGCTACTTGGCCTCCTGATCAGCTCCCCTGGCCTGCTGGGCAAACACTTCCATCCCAGACCACATCGCTGCTCCGAGCCTCAGGAGGCAAAGCCTTGCTGCCCAAGAGGGAGATCTCTGGAGGTGAGAGGCAGCACATCCCAGCAGAGCTCCCACTAGCACCTCTGCCCTGCCCGAGGCTCCACTGTGGGAAAGGCTTTGAATTCTTGCTGCATCCACCCCTGCTCCATCACAGAGTCATAGAGTCCTTTAGGATGAAAAAGGCCTCCAAGACCATGGAGTACAACCATTCCCTCAGCACTGCCAGTGCCACCACTAACCATGTCCCCAAGTGCCTCCGAGTGTGTGAGCCCAAGGATGTCCTTTGCCCCAATCCCATCACAACTTCTCACCCAACCTGATGGATTGGCCTAGTGTCAGGAACATGCAAAGCCAAACCATTCTGATTCCAAAAATCAGGATCCTTTGGTGTTGCTCCATTTGTGCACACACACACATTCTCTAAACTGAGAAACTCACACTATGTGCTTAAGGTGTGGATTTCATTCCCATCTTCCCTGGTTAACAGTATGTGTGACAGAAAGGGAAAACCTTCATATTCCTACCCAGAACATTATTCCACAATCTCACCCAAGCTGCCAACAACAATTAGATGAAGATTAGAAAGATGATGTCACAGCTCACAGACATTATGAGAGACAGAAATATCAAACAGTGAGAAAAGAAACCAAATGCTTCAAAAGGGACAGGAAACTTGGACTGCTGCTAGTTGCTTTTCTCAGGGAACTCATGGAGAAGGGACAATTGTTTTTAGGGCAGGAGAATAGATCATGGTCAATTAGGTCTGCAGCAAGTCCTTCCCCAGTGCTCATTTTGGGGCATACTCTCCCCTCAGCATGGAGGACTCGACTGAGTAGAGTTGTCAAACTCAAATCCTCACAATAATAGTGTCTGACAAGTTTTCAGCTGTTGTTTTGCAGTGGAAAAACAAACCAAAAGCAGAAGCATTTTTAAAATAGCCTAAAAACAGCTGAGAAATAAGCAGTATTTAGATGGTAACGTGATAAACAGTCTCCAGCTCCAGGCCCAGGCCCAGGCCCCGATGCTGACAGCTCCAGGCAGGTGTGGGACTGGTGATTTTCAGCAGATAAAACCACACTTTGAAACAACCTTGCAGCTCAGATGACTGTCAACTCTTGTCCCAGACTTGACTGGGTCACTCAGCCCCTCACACAGCAGTGTCTGTCAGCACTGGATTTCAGCAGATTATTCGGAGCACATTCCTCGCCAGAAAGCATTTTTCAGCCACTCACAGTTACTAAGGATTAGTTGGGAAACACACACAAACACACACTTTTCCCTGCTGTTGAAGGTCCAAGGAAGCTCCTTCCTGCTTAAGGACCTAATGTGGAAGGAGACAGTACAATGGCTTACAAATGTAGCTCTTCAGGGAAACACTCCAGAACGTCTTTGCACCATTTGTCCCAAAACATGAGGGTCATGAGGAAGCAGAGAATCCTGGAATGGTTTAGGTCAGAAGGGACCTTAAAGTTCAGCTCCTTCCACCCCCTGCTATGGCCAGGGACACCTTCCACTGGCCCAGATTGCTCCAAGCCCTGTCCAGCCTGGCCTGGAACACTCCCAGGGATGTGAAGTGGATGTCAGCAGGAGAGGAATGCTGACCACAAAGAGACCCTGGCTGCACATTAACTGATGAACCCCAAGGTGGGTGTCAGAGGACAGGGCCAGACCCTGCTCAGTGGTGCCCAAGAAGCTCCACCTCAACTTGAGGAAGAACTTCTTTCCATGGAGTGTGGCAGAGCACTGGAATACCTGCCAAGGGAGGGGGTGGAGTCTCTCTCTGGGAGGGGTTGGACTGGATGATCTCCAGAGATACCTTCTAACTCCCAACTATTCTGGGATTGTGATGATTTTTCTGAGGCACTGGTGAGTACAGATTGCTAGAAAGAAATTAGCACAACCATATCCCTTAAAAAAAATCAGGGAATAAGACAGTTCCTTGTGATCTTTCAGTGGTGCTCCAGCATCGACCTGAGGAATCACAAGCAGGAGCGATGAGTTTGTGCTGTGTGGAAGTGTCAAGAAACCAAAGCTGGGCTGAGGTGGCTGTCAGGGAAGCCCCAACCCCCCCCAGGCAATCTCTGGATTCGATAACACAGACATTCAATATGTTCAGTCTGCCCCAGCACTGCCCAGTCTGTCCCCCCAGACTGTGGATTTAGCAGAGGGAGTAAACACAGCCCCGACCCCAGCCCGGCCCAGGCAGCTGTCTGACAACAGCTAATTTAGCAGCCTGTTTACAGCTGGAAGGGAAACTTATCCCAACACAGATGCCAACTTGGCAAAGGCTTAATGAAATGCTCTAAGGTCAAAGCAAGTTCTGTTGGGAGGCAATAAATCCCTGCTGGTCCACCCACACCCACACACACACGTGCCACGATACTCCCTGCAGCACTCAGAACAGTCTGCAGTTGGGTTCCACTGCTGCCTGGCAGCAGGGATAGCTGAACTGCCTCCAGGCTGGAATTCTGGGATCATTTTGTCATGGTAATGCCCATCAGGACTATTCAGACCTGGGAAAACCAAGGCCTAAGTTCCTCACTCCTTGTGCCCACTCTCTGAAGGGCTGAGGGAGAGGGTCTGCACAGTCCCCATCTACATCCCACTGGCATTGGGGTTTGCCCAAAAAAGGAAAAAAAAAAATCTTGCAGTGCAGCATGGAAATTCAGTGCTAGGCAGTGTTATGGCACATGGACCTGGCACCTAAAACCCACCCACAGTCTTGAAAAAAGAAGACACAAAAAGAAGGTGTCTCACATGTAGTTCTTGGCTATTTTCCAACCCTTCACCATTGTATTGAGCATCAGGAAATCAGCTTTAATCCAAAGGTGGAAGAGTGAGAATGCAAAGCCTTCCAACAAACCCAGCATCCACAGACCAACTTGGATTCTCCCTTAGTGTGGATTCCTCAATATAATACCCTCTGAATAAGCACTCAGAGGTGTCCAAATTTGAATTTTACAAGTGGCTCCATCAGCACTGACTCCTGTGTGCCAACCAAACCACTAGGGAAGTATTTCCAGGAACTGGAGTTAAATCTCATCTCACAGGTCAATACACCTTAGCCCATATGTTTTCATTCCATATCACTCGGAAATGTTTATGGTTTGGGTGTTTTAGCTAGAAATACTGAGCTTTCCTCGAGCTGCAAACAACACATTTGGTTTCTAAAGCTGTTGTGATGGGTGCCATCAAAATCATCAGAATGTGTTCTTAAACACAATTTCACCTTCAAATTGAAGTGCCCATTTTCTATCTCACCATCAGAGGCAAGAAGACAACTGTTAACAGAACAACAAACATCTAACCAGGAATTAACCTGCATTGGACACAGCTCTGTGTTCCTGTGTGTATGTCCTGCACCACCACTGCAGCTTTAAGAGCTGAGGGTTATTTTGGGAGGCAAAGTGCAGACAGCAACATCTGACACGGTGGAGAGCAGTCCTGAGCCAGACTCACATGGAACTCGGTGGTGTTGAGGATGTGACGCCCGTCCGGACTCCAGCACGAGGCCACCAATCCTGCGGAGCCCTCGTCGATCTTACAGTGCCACTCCGGCTGCTCCAGGGACCAGACCTGGGGCAGGAGGAACCAGACAGTGCAGGGAACAGCAGCTCATCCCCACCACTGCCCACGAGAACTCCCACAGCTGAGGACAACCTCCTGCACCAGCACAGGGAGTGCAGGACACCCCGACCGCCCGTGGCCATGAAGGACTGGCGCTGGGTCCCACTGCAGAGGTGAGTTCACTGCTCTGGGTGACAAGGGAAGGGGCAGACAAAGTGAGGTTGGATTTTGGGACAAATTCTCTGAATATCCAACACTGAAAAATACCCCAGTTTTAGTCCACTTAACGAGTTTGCATGTGTTCATTTCCTACTGCAGTGAGAAGCTGATAAAACAATCTCCAGCTTTGGTTTGGTTTGCTGGGTAGTTTTACTCTAGAGATTTCACTTTCTCAATTAAGATGCTTCTCATGGTTTTAAAATCCTGGGTTATCCTCAAACCGTGTTACCAACAGCACCAGTTACCTCAGCAAAGCCTCAGGCTCGTGCTGGCTGTTAGGCTCTCAAGTCCCAGCACACCTGAACCCCCAACAGGAGACACAGTGTCCTGTGCTTGTCCTCACCTGGACAACCCCTCGCTTGTACATGGCACACAGGACGAACAGGGAGTCTGAGGACCACTGGATGTGCTGGATCTGATCCAGGCAGGTGTAGAGCTGTCGGAGCTGCAGGGACTTGGCATCCCGAATCACCAGGCGATGCTGCACACAGGAGGCCTGAGGGGGCACAGGGATGAGGCAGTGCAGGACCCCGGGGGGAGCACCAGGGCTGTCCCTGCCTCGCTGTGCTCAGGGGGTCAGGTCTGAGACTGCCAACGTCGTGTTTTGAAGTAAGAATTCCTCCCTGTGAGGGTGTGAGGCACTGGCACAGATTGCCAGTCCCAGGAAGGACTTATAGCTCATCCCATCCCACCCCCTGCCCTGGGCAGGGACACCTTCCACCAGCCCAGGGTGGTCCCAGCCCATCCAACCTGGCCTGGAATACTCCCAGAGATGAGATGGTCACAGCTTCTCTGGGCAACCTGTGCCAGAGCCTCAGCACCTCCCAGGGAGGAATTTATCCCCTTCCAGACCCTTACAAACCGCCCGGCCTGATCCTTCCTCTAGGCTCCTCCGGGCACTCACCAACCCCAAGCACTAATTAACGAATCAAGGCTAATTTAACCAACGAATTAGCCTCACCCAGGCCTCCG